ATCCTTTGGATCCCTCGATGGTGGAGGTATTGGCGCCGATGCCACATTATGTACCGCAAACATCTCTTTTGCTGCGTGTTGTTCCCAGTAGACGGTTTTTATTCCGTTCTTTGTCGGAAATTTCATCATTTGATGGATGGTGGATGGTACTGCTCTCATGCCGTGTATCCATGGCCTTCCGAGCAATGCATTGTACCTCATGTATCCTTCCATGACATGGAATTTTCATTTTGGATAATGCCGACCACGTTGACCGGGAGGGTGATTCCCCCTTTTGTTGTCTCGCTCGCCATGTTTAACCCGTTGAGGACTCAAGAGGCGGACACGATTTGGTCAAGCAGTCTGAGCTACTCCACCATCCTCGACCTAATAATATTGGCCGAGCTACTTGGATCCACAAGTAAACGTTTAATTTGAAATGTATTTACAAGAAAAGCATTTACCAATGCGTCATTATGAGGCTGAGATAAGGTCTCGATGTCTTCGTCGCTGAAGGTGAGAGCGTCCTCGGGTATGTAACCTCAAGTTTGCTTTTCCCTGGTAATGGATATTTTTGTTCTCCTGATCATGGGTTCTTGCGGATCATCGATGCCTCCTAACATCACGTGGATGACATGTTGTGGCTCATCTGTCTCATTCTTCTTGGTCGCCTCTCTTTCCCGGAACTGATTCTTGGCTCGATCGCTAAGGAATTCTCGGAGGTGACCTTTGCTAAGTAGTCGGGCTACTTCTTCCCGGAGTTGTCGGCAGTCCTCGGTCCTGTGACCGTGTGTGTCGTGAAATTCACACACCAAGTTATGGTTCCTTTGCGAATGATCCGATTGTATAGGCCTTGGCCACCTGGCGTCTTTGATTTTACTGATGGCGAATATGATGTTCGAAATATCGACGTTGAAGTTGTATTCTGACAAGCGAGGTTCCTCAGTCGGCCCTGTGTGCCTGTCGAACCCAGCTCTGTTAATGAGTCTCCGAGGATTCTGGCCTTGATCCATCATTCGATCATTGCGGGGTATGTTGCGCCTTGGGTCATTTCTTCTATCTATAGTGTATGGTTGGTATCTTTCTTTGTTTGTCTTCGGCTCCTTTGCCGAAAGCCTGTTAGGATATACTGAGCCCGAGGGGGCTCCTAGTTGGTTGTCTTCGACCCTAATCTTTGATTGGTATCAGTTATGGACGTCCGACCAAGTAATGGCGGGATATTCAACTAAGTTCTTCTTCAGCTGCTTCAAATCTAGCGAGCTTCGCTCGTTCAAACCTTGAGTGAAGGCCTGCACTGCCCAGTCGTCGGAGACTGGTAGTAATTCAATTTGAAAGCGAGATACGAACTCTCGCAGCATCTCGTTCTCCCTTTGCTTGATTTTGAAGACGACAGATTTCCTTGTTGTTACCTTGATAGTACCAACATGTGCCTTTATAAAGGAATCTGCCAGCATGGCGAACGAATCTATCGAGTTTGGGGCTAGGTTGTGATACCACATCATCGCCCCTTTTGAAAGCGTCTCTCTAAACTTTTTCAATAGGATGGTATCGATCTCGTCGTTATTTAGGTCGTTGCCCTTTACCGCACAAGTGTAAGCAATGACGTGCTCATTGGGGTCCGAGGTTCCGTTGTACTTCGGAAGGTATGGCATTCTGAACTTCTTTGGATTGGGTTTTGGAGCCACTTTCCGTAGGAACGGCTTCTGTACGAACTTCTTCGAATCCACACTCTTTAGGATCGGGGGCGCGCCCGAAATTTGGTCGGCCCTGGAATTGTAGGTCTCTACCTTCTTGTCGTTGGCTTCTATCTTCTTCTCGCCCGAGTCGATCCTCTTTGTGAGGTCTTCGAGCATCTTTATGATAGCGGGGTAGGTTGCCGACCTGTTGTCGCTTGATCTTTCTAGTACCTGCTCGGCTTGGGGAGCCGTTTCCGGTGCTACCGTGCTGGGAGTTATCTGGTGGCTTTGCAGTTGAGCAATTGCCAGTTGTTGTGCCTACAACATTTCAAAAATAACATGAAGTCTAACCTACCGTTCTTCCATAGCTGGGTTTTCTGGACTTCTTGTTGATATCCTTGGTGTACGCTCATGTTAGTATGAGAGCTTATATCGACGTGTTGGGCATCGCGTGAGACCACATCCGCAGGGATTGGTTCCGTTGCGTCCTCAGAGTTTCGTGGTGGTGCACCAATACCTGGAACAGCTACACCATTTTCTCCATGGTCCTCAAGGCCATTATTTTCGCGTGCATTCACTGAGTTAGACATTCTGACCTAAAATCAAAGATTCTTGGACAAGAAAAGGCGTGAAAGATAACTTGTGTTATGTATTAAACCAGCAAAAAAACAATCACTATTATTTTTATCCCCACGGTGGGCGCCAAACTATTTACCTTGAAAATGGTAATAACAATTAGATTTGATTTTGTGGTTCTAAAAATATGTGATCTATTTTTATGCTAGTTGTTAGGCAATAGATGCTAAGTGAAAGATTAGAAAGAATAAGACAATAACTTATAGATAGTATAATAATCAAACAAAATGGCTGGGAATCGGGGCCTCGAGCTTGTGTGCATGGGGCCATGAGGTCGAGTCGGATGCCCGACTAAGGGCGGTCGATGGAGGATTAACAGTTATGATAAATTCAATAGCGGCTCTTTATGACCAATAATGAGCAATAGATGAAGAACAATAAATAGAACACAACAAATGAAGCAATAAATGTAAGAAATGAGATCAAGAGAATATGCTAAGTTATGAAGCAGAGAGAATGTTCTTGTATATTCAGTATTGAGTATCAGATCCCCTTTACAAAATGACAAGGATGCCCTTTATATATGGGGGGGGGGGGGAATCCCAACATTGTACAAATGCATTTATTACAAAGATATGGGGCTGGTACAACCATCTAATGCCATGATACGGGTTTGGACTAGCCTGATAGACTTTGTCAGCTCTAGTCACGTGCCTTGGGAACCTCACGTCGATCTACCGTAGTCGCTGATTTACACTGCCTCGAGGCCGATCGTTGTTTACACTACCTCGAAGTCGATCACTAAGAACTCTCAAGGTCGATCACTGGGAACCTTCGGGGTCGGAGCCTCGAGTTGAGCTTTGAGCCTTCCGAGGGCAGCCTCTACGAGACGCCTTGATGATCATAAAATTGAACTGCCGATTTTTACCGTATACAACTTTTGACTTTATTACGAGTTTTATAGCATGTTTGGCCAAGCTTCTAAAATCAGCTTATTTTGATAAATATTTTTCTCAAAAGTACTTTTAAAAAAGTATTTTTGTTGAAAAACAGTTTATATTTGGTTGATTAATTTGAAAAGCACTTTTGAACAGTAATTAGCGTTTGACCACATTTTTGAAAACTGCTTTTAAGTGTATTTTTTTTTTCAAAAGTACTTCTCAAAAAAGTACTTTTGGAATGAAGTTATTTTTTCTGCTTCTCAAAAACTGCTCATGTCTTTCTTACATTTCGCATATCTATTGTCGTAAAACACCAATGTAATGTGAAATTAGAAAAGTATTATGAAGCTTTTGAATAACAATCCACAAAAAAATAAAATAAATAAAGATAGAGGACTAGCTTTTGACAGACTTTTCATTTAAAAAAAGAAAAGAAAAAAGAATAGAGGATAGTTTTTTTACTCCCTCTATCTATTTATGTGTTATACTTTTCTTTTAGCATATCTTAAAAAATATGTCATATTTTCTTATTTAAAAATAATTAAACATAAATTGGGACGGAAGGAGTAGAACTAGGGGTGTCAATGGATATTTGAAAACCGACCAAACCGACCGAACCATACCGCACCGAACCAATTTTTAGGTTTCTTTTTAAGAAACCGTAGGTTTTTATATAAAATTATAACCGCACCGATAATTAAGGTAGGTTTTTTATTTTATAAAAATAAACCGAAAAAAACCCGAACTGTACCGAATAAATTTTACATGTAGAAAATATATTTATTTAGTAAGTTTAAAAATAATAATGCATTAAATTTTCTTTGAGCCTTGGAATTATGAAAACTATTACAAACCAACAAGTAATTAAACTCAAAATACTAATTCCTAAAACCTATTATGCTACTTCTACTTAAACCAAGTTATTTCAAGTATCTTTATTAGCAAGACACAAAGTATTCTAGCAATTATGAGTAGCAAACTATAATGTATTGAATATGTTTCCTTTCATATAATTTAGATTTATTTTTTTGAATATTTAATCTTCTATAGACTTAAAATTCTTGAGTCCCAACTTGGTATATCTTTTAACTCGTGTGATTAATATTTTCGTTGCCTTTGTTTGATTTCTTTTACGCTGTTGTAGAATAGTTGATGGATCTATACTATAGCCATATTTTTTTTTTAAATTCATCACCCTTTAAACAATAAAAATGTCTAGAGAGTTTTGCTAAATCCTATAAAAGAACTTACGTTATTGCAATTCTACTTCTACTGGTGAATTTTACATGATATTAAAAAAATACCGAAAATTAACTGAACCGTACCGATACCGAAGAGAAACCGACATGATTGAGACGGTTTCGAAAAGTCTAATTTTGGTTATATATAATAGAATAACCGAAAAATTGGTATGGTACAAATTTTATAAAATAACCGACCGAACCGAACCATAGACACCCCTAAGTAGAACATAGAAGCTGCAAAATTTCGAGGTTCAAATTGTCATTCTGCTTCCTAAATCTATACACTAAAGCAATAAACGCAAAGCAACCCAAAGCGCGTCCCTAGCGGCGGGATTGATGACTAAGTAAACCCAAAATACAATTTGACTTAAATAAAGTAACTACATATACTTCTTCTATTCTCTCAAACCCAAACACGGACCAACATAGAGAAGATATTGAAAAAACGTATATATACACAGATGTATAAATACATGAAGCTTCCCCCTGCCTTCACCGCACACAAACAGCAGCTTCTCCCCGCTTCTCCCTCTCCCTCCAAACCCGCAAGACACGTTTTGGTTTAAATAAAAAGCCATTTTTTTTACAAACGTAGGAATGGAAGCTATAATTAATTAACGAGAGAAAAATGCGTGATTTAGTGTTGTTTGGTTGTAAAGTTGTATTACAAGAGGGGTCTGCAGAGTTAGAGATAAAGAAAATGCAGATAACTCAGCACCCCGAAGATGAAGACAATGTCGAGAGAAGTGATGATGCTACTTATAGCAAGCTGGAAAAGGAGAAGAAGAATAAGAGGAAGAACCAAAGTGATCAACATGATGTGGGATCAAAGTCTGGTGAGGTTATTAATCTCAAGCCAAAGAAGAAAAGGTATAGGTCTATTGAAAATATCTACTTGGAAACAAAGCCTATGAACGTTTTCTCATAGGGACCAAAAAAACAAAAGTAGAATAAATCTTGGAGATATACTCTTATTCAGGGTGAGGTTGAATTGTCCTTCTAAAATTCAAAACTTATAAATGTTGAAATCATTATGAAAGCCATTATGTAGGAATTTTAATTTTGTGTAGGGTTTTGATCAAAACTGATAATGCTGGTAATAATATAGAGTATGCTGACTTTCCTTTTGTATGTTTTCTTAAATTTCTCATTCGTTTCTGCTTCTGAATTTTTTTTGCCATTATTCTACTAATCACCATAAATAATATGAAGCTATTTTATTATAGTGGCCGGGATCACTTCGGTAAATATTATAATTTCACCTCATCTAACTGATAATTAGGATTACATTTCATTGATCATAATGCTATTATACTTTCTTAAATCTTTTCATTCTTTATGGTTCTTCGAAAACTGATTATCTTTAATTAATCTGTACAATTATACGTAACTAAATAGGTTGTTTGCGATTTCCCAATATAGTAATGGGTATTCTTTACGCTCTTACAGGCATTTCGTTTATATTTACAATTACCTGTCTCATGCTATTTTCTGATACGTGGTTATAATTCTTGTACGTGTTTAACCTAAAACTTAATTATTAGACTAAAGAAATTAAATTTGTAAAATTAGGCCACATGCAATCGATTCGATTCAAAAATGGATAAACAGAAGAGATGAATGTAAAGATAAGCATTGAAATGAAAAGAAAGTAAAAGAGATATGATTCTCACTCAATGATCCTTGACGAGAAGGAAGTTGATGAACAAGACTGGTGCGTAATTAACATAATAGTAAGTATTGTTCTTAAAGTTTTTTGTATTCGAATCAGATTTGGGTATAAATGAGGAAAATTGAGAGTATTTATATAACAAAGTGCATGCGGTAAAATCGAAGGGGCCGATTTTGTGGTCATCATGGTGCTTCGGAGGCACGCTTCCTAGGGCTCGAGGTACAACCAGTGTCGGCTCAAGGACCAAGCAAATAAAGCAATGGCTTTAAGCCCCCAAAATTTTGGGGGCCCGATTTAAAATTAATATATTAATTCTATGGTAATTTCCTTTAAGAAATATTAACTATCTATGGTAAAAGATTATAAGATATGCATAAAATAGCAAAAGAATTATTTTGTCAATGTGATTGATGATTACTAATACTTAATTTATATTCTAATATTAATATTTTATTTTTTTACTCATAATAAAACTTGTATTTTATATTCTCTTTTTTCCCTCTAATTACTAAGCTGTCTATTCTCTAAAAAAAAGGAATAAAAAACATGGAATAAATTTTTATAAAAAATTAATTATTTTGAAGTCCTCAAGCATTACAACAAACAAGTTAAAATAATGGAATTTTATTCTGATATCAAATTANTTGTGGGCTGCGGCTAGTGACACCATTGACGAGCAGATGCCAATGCTTTTTGCTAGGTTTGTTTCATATCTTTTTTACTCCAAAAATCTTAGCAGAAATTATAATGAATCCAAAATGTTCATACTAAATCTAAAGAATCCAAATCTTAATTTCTACAGAGACTATCTAAAAATTAAGAAGAGAGAATGATAGAAAGCAAAAAAATTGTAAGATATTCAGATGCCTCAAGCTTTTCTTCATGGGGGGAACAACATGTAAGGAAGAAAGGAAAAAACGGGAACTAGGTTTAGGTTTTGGTGGAAAGCCAAAAATATCCATCTCATTTATTCATTGGTGGTATTGTATTAGGGTTTTTTTAAGGAAAGCAAATATGTATACAATGCTAACCTACTACAACTCAACTGTGTAGTATGTTAGCAAAACCATATATATATATGTTACCTCATAGTAGCCTATTACTTTTTATTATTTATCAGGGTGCACATATGTCAACTATAAAGCATTAATCAAATTAATCAATGTGAATTTCTTTTAAAGTTTGAGGCCTCCTAATAATGTTTGGCTTTAGGCCTCCAATATTTTGAGCTGCCTCTGGTTACAACCTCGTAGGATTTCCAAATGCCCGACTATGGGACAATGTGGATCGACAGCTATGATGGAGAAACGGGAAGTTCCCTAGGTACTTGATTGAGACTGACAAGCTAGTATGTGCCTGTACCATGGCATTAAATGACTGCTTCCTCCACGTGTCTTTGTAATAAATGCACTTTGTACTATGTTAGGGTTCCCCTTGATATATAAAGGGGATCCTGGTCATTTTGTAGACAAGTCACAATATTTTACACACTACATCCAATACAAGAATATTCTCTGCTCTCTAACTCAAACATACTCTCTGTTTGATCATGTTGCTTACATTTATTGTTTTATTTATATTTACTACATTTCATTAATTGTTCTTCATTTATTGCTCATTATTGGTCATAAAGAGCCACCATCAAATTTATCATAACTGTTAATCCTCCATTAACTGCCCTTAGCCGGGCATCCAACTCGATCTCGAGGCCCCGTATACGCAAGCTCGAGGCCCCGATTTCCAGCCATTCGATTTGACTATTACACTATCTACAAACTATTATCTTATTTTCTAATCTTCCGCTTAGCATATATTTCCTAACAACTAGCATAAAAATAGATCACATATTTTTAGAACCACAAAATCAAATTTAAATGTTATTAGCATTTTTAAGGTAAACAGTTTGGTGCCCACCGTGGGGCTAAAAATAATAGTGATTATTTTCTTGCTAGTTTACTACATAACACAAGTTATCTTTCACACTTTTTCTTGTCCAAGATCTTTGATTTTAGGTCAAAATATCTAACTCAGTAAACGCACATGAAAACAACAGTCTTGAGTACCATGGAGAAAATAGTGTAGCTGTTTCAGGTGTAGGTGTACCACCACGAAACCCTGAGGATATACTAGAACCAATTCCAATGGATGTGGTCTCGCACAACGGTCAACACATCGAGATAAGCTCCCACACCAACAAGAGTATACATCAAGAAAACCAACAAGAAGCCCAAAAAACCCCGGCTCAGGAAGAATAAGAGGTTAGCCTTCACGTCATCTTCGAGATGTTACAGGCACAACAACTGGCGATTGCTCAGCTGCAAAGCCACCAGAAAACTCCCAGCACGGTAGCACCGGAAATGGCTCCCCAAGCCGAGCAGGTACCAGAAAGATCAAGCAACAACGGGTCGGCAGCCGACCCCGCCATTATAAAGATACTCGAGGACCTCACAAAGAGGATCGAGTCGGGCGAGAAGAAGATAGAAGCCAACGACAAGAAGGTAGAGACCTACAATTCTAGGGTCGATCAAATTCCGGGCGCACCCCCGATCCTGAAGGGTGTAGATTCAAAGAAGTTCGTACGAAAGTCGTTCCCACACGAAGTGACTCCAAAACCCATTCTAAAGAAGTTCAGAATGCCCGACCTTATGAAGTACAATGAAACTTCGGACCCCAACGAGCACGTCATGCTTACACTTGTGCAGTGAGAGGCATTGACCTAAAGGACGATGAGATCGAATCCGTCCTACTAGAAAAGTTTGGAGAGACACTTTCAAAAGGGGAGATGATGTGGTATCACAACCTAGCCCCAAACTCGATAGATTCGTTTGCCATGCTAGCAGAGTCCTTCATAAAGGCACATCCTGGTGCCATTAAGGTAGCTACAAGGAAATCCGACGTCTTCAAAATCAAGCAGAGGGAGAACGAGATGCTGCGAGAGTTTGTATCTCGCTTTCAAATGGAACGGATGGAACTACCACTAGTCTCCGATGACTGGGCAGTGCAGGCCTTCACTCAAGGTTTGAACGAGCGAAGCTTAGTAGCTTCAAAGCAGCTGAAGCAGAACTTAGTCGAATATCCCGTCGTGACTTGGTCGGAGACGACCAACTAGGAGACGACCAACTAGGAGTTCCCTTAGGCTCGGTATATCCTAGCAGGCTTCCGGTAAAGGATCCAAAGCCAAACAAAGAAAGATACCAACCATACACTAAAGATAGAATAAACGCCCCAAGGCGCAACATACCCCGCAATCACCAAAGGATGGATCGAGGCCAGAATCCTCGAGGACTCATTAGCAAAGATGGATTTGTTAGGCGCACATGGCCGACGGAGGCACCCTACTTGTCGGAATACAACTTCAACGTTGCCATTTCAGACATTGTATTTGCCATCGGTAAAATCAGAGACACCAGGTGGCCAAGGCCTGTACAATCAGATCCTTCGCAAAGGAACCACAACTTAATGTGTGAATTTCATGGCACACACGGTCACAGGACCGAGGATTGCCGACAACTCCGGGAAGAAGTAGCCCGACTACTCAGCAAAGGTCACCTTCGAGAATTCCTTAGCGACCGTGCCAAAAATTAGTTCCGGGAAAGAGAGGCAACCAAGAAGAATGAAATAGATGAGCCACAACATGTAATCTACATGATCTTTGGGGGCATCGACGCTCCACAAGATCCCATGGTCAGGAGAACAAAAATATCCATTACCAGGGAAAAGCAAACTCGAGGTTATATACCTGAGGACGCCCTCACATTCAGCGATGAAGACATCGAGGCTCTATCTCATCCTCATAACGATGCATTGGTAATTTCTTTCCTTGTAAATACATTTCAAATTAAGCGTGTGCTTGTGGATCCATGTAGCTCGACCAACATTATCAGGTCGAGGGTGGTGGAGAAGCTCGGACTGCTCGGCTAGATTGTGCCCGCCTCTCGAGTCCTCAAAGGATTCAAAATGGCAAGCGAAATAACAAAAGGAGAAATCACCCTCCCGGTCAACATGGCTGACACAATGTAAAATGTTAAGTTTCATGTCATCGAAGGAGACATAAGGTACAACACATTGCTTAGAAGGCCGTGGATACACTGCATGAGAGCGGTACCATCCACCCTCTATCAAATGATGAAATTTCTGACAAAGAATGGGATAAAAACCGTCTACGGGGAACAACATGCAGCAAAAGAGATGTTTGCGGTGCACGATGTGGAACCGGCGCCAATACCTCCACCATCGAAGGAGCCAACGAATAAGCAAACAGTAAAATAGCAATAACAAGTTATATTCTCGGCTACACCTGACTAAACAAGTAAAGGACCATACTGCGTCCCCAGAACAAACCATCGAAGCATATCGAGGCCCAAGGCACCGACGACACTAAGGTATAATCATCTCCTTTTTTAGTTACATTCTATACTAACCTATGTGCTAGTATCCAATCGAAACAGTTGAAGCACTTTCCAACTTTAAGGCCTTAGGTTCCAAAAGCATGCGTTGCACTCTTTTCCTTCGGCCGGGTTTTTATCCCAACAAGGGTTTTACCGATAAGGTTTTTAACAAAGCAACATCCATATGCTACCTAAGGAAGACTCAACAAGTATTCAAGGCTTCTCTTCAATCAACCTCAAATACTGGGGGGGGGGGGGCATCCCCCTGGAAGGTCACCTCCTCGAAGAAGCCAGTATATGCTAAATAGGGTCTCGATAGGAAAATGATGTACCGGGCAAAACGGTCGAACGAATCGTATCCGTATAGAATAACCGAGACCTTGACATCAAAAACATGTATACTTGTACCAAGTAATCAAAGAATACTTTCCCCTCCATCAAAACATTGCGCATTTCAAAGAAGTTTGGTATTTTTTACAAAAACGGCTCCAGAGCCAAAAAACGTCCCAAACACTCGGGCACTGACGTCAAAAACTCAAAGCCGTATGAACTCTAGGTCGGAAGCTTCGAACTTGTAAGCCCTCATTGAGGCAACATCAAGGTTACAAAATGGCTCCAGAAGCCAAAAACGTCCCCAATACTCGGGAAATGTCGTAAAAAACTCAAAACTATATGACCCCCGGGTCGGAAGCTTCAAACTCGTAAGCCCTCAATGAGGCAATGTCAAGTCTACAAAAACGGCTCCAGAGCCAAGAAAACTTTCAATGTCTCGGGGACTGCCGCCAATTGCCATCCCATCGACTTATCAAAACCCGAGGCCATAAGACCCCATATGGGCAACCTCTACCTCGTAAGACCTTTATAAGGCAACACCAAAAATTGTAAGACCTTAAGCAAGGCATGAACCATACTTGTACCAAGTAACCAAAATTGTAAGACCTCAAGCAAGGCATGAACCATACTTAACCAAAACTGTATGACCTCAAGTAAGGCATATAAAAATTATGAGACCATACAAAAAGGCATTATCCCGGCCTTAAAGTTAAGGCTATATATTCGAACTTGTAAGACCCCTAAAATGGCATATATAGATGCCAAAACTACTTCATTCGAGAACTAAAAGGCTACGGCCAAACATAAATGACTACAGTCATAAGGCTCCGGCCAAACTAACGTGACTCGGGGATGCCCGACCATCGCTATAAAATCACAGGTCTTCAATTACTTTGAAAGTACTTCGAAAAGAACCGGTTAAATAGGCTACCGTCGACATAGGCAAAAGAGCTTCGACCATGTCAGCTCCAAACTATAGGCTTCAAAACACTCAGCCACCGAGTAAACGTCCCGAGTTGCTCGTTCATCACCACATAATGACTCACAATTGAGGTTTTTATCGAACCGTCAAAGAGTCAGGCAAACACAATTTCAAAAATTCCTTAACGGGGGGAAAATAAAGCCTATATTAGAGGTCGTACCGACTCAATGCATAAGAGCCACTGCCGCCAGCCCATATGAGAGGTTGTACCGACCTAACATGTAAGAGCCTAAGGGCAAGCTTTAAATTCAAAAATTTAAGGGTCAATGAGCTCGAGTCGAAACCTGACTTGGAAACTGAACCCGAAACAGTTAACTGAATATGCTTAAGAGTAAAAACATAAGAGCTCAAACGCCGGCTTATACTAAAAGGTCGTATCGACCAAACGCGTAAGAGCCTACGGGCTATCCCCACGAACCCCAGGGTCGTACTATAAACCTAAGGGTTCTTTTTAACTCGAAGACCAATTCATCTGGCTAATGACTGACAAACATCGAATCAAAGGAAAGTGCACGAAAAATGAAACCGCAAGGCTTCCTTTTATATGTATATGTGAAAAAATACAAAGCGCCATTTACAATGTTCTTTAAAGGCACTATACACAAAATCAGAAAAAAAGGCCTAATCTATGTCCCCCTCGGGGACTATGGCCCGTCGACCTCTTCCTCGCTATATTCAGCATCGAATAGAAGGAACTTAGCGTCATATTCGTTTGCCTTTGCATGCTTTATCTCTT